GCGGCGTCACCCGCCTTTCGACCCGCGGCGTCACCCGCCTTTCGACAATAACCGCGGGTAGCATCGCGGGACTCAGTTTACAATAATAAAATTTAATGTTTCCGAAGCGAAGCGAGGGCGGGTCGCTAGTTTTAAATATAAGCTTGCGACTAACAACGTATGGTATTTCTATATTCTAATATAAGACCGACTCGGTGATGCATTAGTGAGCGCTCCTGAATCTTTCACCGAAAGTTTTGGGTTCGAATTTCACATCGGGCAAACATTGCGTGATGAAAGGGGGAGAAATATCCAGAAGCGGAGTCCGATAGATGGACCGATCAAGCGTTTTTTTTTTTATTCATTGCTTAGATGGGTGGACGAGCTCACAGCCCACCTGGTGTTAAGTGGTTACTGGAGCCCATAGACATCTACGACGTAAATGCGCCACCCACCTTGAGATATAAGTTCTAAGGTCTCAGTATAGTTACAACAGCTGCCCCATCCTTCAAACCGAAACGCATTACTGCTTCACGGCAGAAATAGGCAGGGCGGTGGTACCTACCCGCGCGGACTCACAAGAGGTCCTACCATCAGTGTCTGATCAACTTGACACTGTAATTACTAACGGCCTTGACTGTGGCAGTATGTGCTTAGTGCGAGTTTTTTAACGTTCTCGATAGCGTAAAAGTTAACTCAAATTTGTATGAAATTGGAACGTTTGCCGCTAGGGCGCTGTTTCAACTGCAAACAAATTTGTGTTAACTTTTACGTTATCGCAATCGTTAACAAACTCGCACTATGCACACTGATCGTCAAAAGGGGCGACCACTCATCCAGGCCAGTCTTACGCTCATAAACCTCAACTGTGAGCGAACTTTGAGAGCAGGACTACAACAACCAATATATTTTCATATAAACCTTCACATAGTCTTATGCTATTATCTACATTTAACATTAATGCCTTTATTTGTTTGTTGTTTGTTTATTTCCTCATCTCAAGGACAAACACTATCAGCTGGATAAGTCAAATCTGATTTAAAATACTTTAATCTATTTTCTTTGAAAACGCTTTAAAAACATTATTTATTTTTGAAGGTAATTTCCTGTTGATGGTAGGTATATAGATATTACGTACCAAGAATTCTTTATCGTTAATGAAAGCAAATTAGTTTTCCTATGCGTATTTTTTTTTAAATCGCGTATCTAACTAATGCTGTATTAAATATTTAAAATACACATTTCCATTATATTCCGTCATCTATACATAAAAATATAATTGAAGAGTCTGTTTGTAATATTGAAATAACCGCTTTGTATTACATGCATATGAATATATATATACGGTACATACACCAAAATAATTTTTTTTACAATTTTTGTCTGTCTGTCTGTTTGTTCCGGCTGATCTCTGGAATGGCTGGACCGATTTTGACGAGACTTTCACTGATAGGTTAGCTGATGATATAAGTAGAAACTTAGGCTACTCTTTTTAGACTAGCTTCGCCCCGCGGCGTCACCTGCAGTACGACAATAATCGCGGGTAACATCGCGAGACTCAGCTATCAATAATAAAATTTAATGTTTCCGAAACGAAGCGAGGGCGGGTCGCTAGTACATTATAAAGTTTAGAGTAATTAAAAAAAAATGCACTTTTAAAACGACCATGCGTCCGTTTGGCTTCCTAATTATTTCATAATTACACATATTTGAATTAAGATTTTTGAAACTGTATTATGATAACTTGTAAAACACATGGGAGTTCAAAAACGAAACAAGCACACGACCAATTGACATCACATCGGAACCATCCAAGGTCTTATGAGAGTTAAATGTGACTCATGCATCTTCCGCTTACCGTAAATGGGACGTAAAGATCCATCAAGTGTATAATTAGGTAGGATCACAAGGGCATTCGTTGAAAATAAAACTAGACCCGATCAAGAGGGGTACATACGTGATGAATACCTTACAAACGAAGTACATATTGTTTTTTTAACACCGTCAACAATCGGAGGGTATGTCCAACCGAAGTCAGGCGTTACCAGAACTTTAATACCGAAGCTGACGTCGACAAGTGACGACGAAGATTATGTTGCACCAAAATGACTGCCATTTTAGAAATACCCAAATTAATCAGGACGGTGGTAGGTAGGGTTTTCCCTACGTACCCTCCTACCAGTGACTAATATCCTCACGCGGCTTGTTTTGAACCATGAGTAATATCACCGCTCTGTTCCCACCAGTTTCTTTTTACCGAAAAGACAACGTTGCAAATGAAGTTACTATAAATATGTATATTTCGCCAATTGCAAAGATCGAAACATGCTATGCGCTGAGGAGTGCTTATCTACGAAGATTCGTCGATGCATTAAGGACTCTACGTCAAATCTTTATCATATTCATGCCGGTTACTTAATAAATCATAAAATCACATTCAAATACTCAAAAATCTTCGTTTTTTTTATTTTTTTTTATTGCTTAAATGTGTGGACGAGCCCACAGCCCACCTGGTGTTAAGTGGTTACTGGAGCCCATAGACATCTACAACGTAAATGCGCCACACACCTTGAAATATAGTTCTAAGGTCTCAGTATAGTCACAACGGCTGCCCCACCCTTCAAACCGAAACGCATTACTGCTTCACGGCAGAAATAGGCGGGGCGGTGGTACCTACCCGTGCGGACTCACAAGAGGTCCTACCACCAGTAATTACGCAAATTATAATTTTGCGGGTTTGATTTTTATTACACGATGTTATTCCTTCACCGTGGAAGTCAATCGTGAACATTTGTTGAGTACGTATTTCATTAGAAAAATTGGTACCCGCCTGAGATTCGAACACCGGTGCATCGCTCAACACGAATGCACCGGACGTCTTATCCGTTAGGCCACGACGACTTCAAATTTAATGTTTCCGAAACGAAGCGAGGGCGGGTCGCTAGTTAATAATATAATAAAATCTGAATTAAAACTACATTTACGGTATAAGCTTGCGTTTTTTAGTGGAAATTTACTTTATAATTCATTTATATATTTCAATACATTTATTCTCCAAACTTAATTAAATTATTTATTCTATTTCAGTATAAATTATCGCCAGCTTTCAGTTAAGCCGTTCTTGGTATTAAGCGAACGAAATTTGTACTATAGATGAAGCGGTTAGATCGTTTAAAGTTTAACAGTTTGCGAAATATGTTTCGTAATTGAAACGACTTGTATTCGATATATGGGTAATTAGTCAAATGATAGTTTTGAGTATGTTAGTATACGACACGGAGTTTGCGGAGGCCAATAAGTTATTCCATTTTGTAATATATGAGTTGGTACGGGGACAGGTGATTTTTTGATTGACATAAACAGAAGTTTTTTTTTTTTTTTTATTGCTTAGATGGGTGGACGAGCTCACAGCCCACCTGGTGTTAAGTGGTTACTGGAGCCCATAGACATCTACAACGTAAATGCGCCACCCACCTTGAGATATAAGTTCTAAGGTCTCAGTATAGTTACAACGGCTGCCCCACCCTTCAAACCGAAACGCATTACTGCTTCACGGCAGAAATAGGCGGGGCGGTGGTACCTACCCGTGCGGACTCACAAGAGGTCCTACCACCAGTAATTACGCAAATTATAATTTTGCGGGTTTGATTTTTATTGCACGATGTTATTCCTTCACCGTGGAAGTCAATCGTGAACATTTGTTGAGTACGTATTTCATTAGAAAAATTGGTACCCGCCAGCGAGATTCGAACACCAGTGCATCGCTAGATACGAATGCACCGGACGTCTTATCCTTTAGGCCACGAAGACTTCGTTTCATGAAATCCATCGAAAACATCACTAATGTATCTTTCACAGTCGTAAATCGTGTTTACAATAGAGCGTACCTTACATAACAATAAATACATACATGTCTGTAGTATGTATTTTAGATTCAACAATACGTTTCTATTGTCTACAAAAATGACATCATAATACAGTTATAGAAAACACACGACGCGAGACCGCAAGTCGATAATTGGCATATTATTAGTAAGCTTGAAATTATGTTGACAGAGAAATAGCAGTAATACGTGAAGCAAAAACTTTGTATCCCTTTTTACGAAAATTGCGCGGACAGAGGAATATGAAATTTTCCACACTTATAGAGAATATAGAGAAGAAGTGCACAATGCTAATATTTTTCTAAAATAATGCATAAAAGCTACATTAAATCAATAAAGAAAACATTACACACACTACATACCATGTACTTGACGCACACACGCATGCATGCTATTTATTGTCAAACTTTTGTTCTTGACGTCTGTTGTCAAATTGAGAATAGATTAGATATTGTTTGTCTTTGTTAATATTTTTTATAGTGTAGTCTTGGCGAAATTTGTGATTATAGAAGTATAAAATACAATCATAATAGTGAACAAACTTACAAATCCTATTAATTATAGTCGAATTTCGACTACTGCGGGACCTCTAGTATATGATAATTACGTAGTGATTTAGAACTTTATTGGGTTTTAGGCGTGTTGTTACGGGAGAGGTTTTATTAAGTTACATATGCTGCAGGGAAGCTGTTGGATGGATCATCGGTTTGAAGGATGGGACATGCATAGTATATTACAATTGAGAGTTTGACCTTATCTCCCAAGATGGGTGGTGGCATTCACGCTGTTTATGTCTATGGGCTCCGATCCAGATGTGACGTAAGATTGTCTGCCCACCAATAAAAAGCTTTTTCTGTTTGTCCTTACTCAACTAGACAAGGTCGATAGAATCTTTTGTATTCCATTTTGTAGTTAAATTTATTATAATATACATATATTATAATGGCTGGTTAGATATGGAAATGGTTTAGGGTATAAATATACTATTAGGAATGGATGCTGTAGACGAAAGACTGGTTGATATACTGATATACCGATTGATAGCAGTAGTATATATCAGAAATAAAGGCTGTTTCCATGACCACTCATAATCCTAAACTACTCTTCGTGGAAATAATTTCGAATTTTGCATTTCAGCGTGTGATCCAAGCTCTTGGCGTGTCGTGGCACGCTCACCACTTCGTCTGCGGTGGATGCAAGAAGGAGCTTGGCGGTGGAGGGTTCATGGAACAGGTATACCTAATATGTGCCTTGGTATTATGATACTTATCACAGATCTTACATAAGCGAATCCCGAAGCGATGCTTGGACATCCACTATAGACAAATTATTAGTATGGGGTTTTGAACAATAGACACTGTTGTGTGTTTGATATAACGAATACTAAGCAGTTATAGCCAAGTTTAATTTCTAATTCTAAAATAGGATCCATTAATGCCTTGATATAATAATTTTCGGGATAAACTTACCCTGACTAGAAAAATTTGGAATCGTTACTAAGGTGCGATAAGAAGTTAGATTAAAACCAAGAAATATAATTGATATTTAAAATTCCCAAATAAGGAAACCATTAAATTGAACCTTTCGGGTTGCGGTAGAAGGAACCAAATTGAAATAGACCTCTACCCTTATGCTGGTCATACCAGAGACTCCTTTATCATCTATTCATCTATCCATAAATCTATTGTTAATTTCCAGGCTGGCCGTCCCTATTGCTCCGATTGCTACGCAGACAAGTTCGCCACTCGCTGCAAGGGGTGCGGAAATCCAATCGTCGATAAAGCCATCATCGCGCTTGACGCTAAGTGGCACCGCGATTGCTTCACGTGCATGGTAACGACGCATTCTAACGTGTATATATTGCAGGGGTTTGTTCCTTACAACGATAACGGTAAAAGTGAAAGCCTTTTTATGAGAAAATATAATGTTCCCTGAACTTGGTCGCTCCACACGACCTTATAGCCAAAGCTAGGTTAATTGTATTTGCCGGGGTCAGTTGTCTAATGCTTGACCAGAGGAAATAATGGTACTTGGTAGACATTTTATTTGCCGTAAGATTGATGGGTTCTTTTAGAAATGCCGAACATACTTCAGATAAATATACATAATCCTGAAGTAGTTAGAGATCGCATAGAGCTCTTCGAGTGAATCCAATCGGTAATGGGCAACATTTGAAGCCAAAGAAGTTAGTTAATTCGCTAGTTAAGAAGCTAATAGATACTGCAAAATTTAAAAGTACCATGTTTTATGGTAAAGCAACATCACAGCCTTCCCCTAGCTATGTAATTGTGACAAACAAAAGGAACAAACCCCAATTCGAACTTTAGAAATAGTAAATTTTGCATCAAACTGAATTTATTCAAATACTTTATGAACAATCTTTCGATAGGCGGATAGAAGCAACATTCGGATCGTTGAGAGAAAGTGAGTAGAGGCATAATGCAATTCCGAAACAGCATACCGGTGTCAGATAATAAATGCGAATGGCATCATTAAAACAGCCAAAGCTTCAGCAATAACATAGAACTTTGCGCTCTTGCCAAAATAAAGACATAAAAACAATGAGTTATGTTTTGATGTACTAAATAATAATACGTTCTGGACAAAATCTTGGCAGCGTGGTGATATTGGATGACTTATGATGAGTTCAAGGTCTCCTTGAGGGTTTATTGGATTTAGAGAATCAGGTGGGAAAATAGATGATCTTGGAGAAATAGAGTATGTGGGTGCGGCATGAAAAACGAATGTAAACATTTTGTGGATACGGCATCACTACGGGTAAGAGGGTAGTTGCGGTAGTAACATATGCCAGCCGTTAAACAGTGGGAGATTTCGGACTCTTGTCTCAAGTTATGGTGGTTAGATGAATCATTACCCTACAAATTGAAAGCTGATGTATTGATCAGTAGTTTATGCATACTATTGACAGTAAAATTACTTTAAAATTTAAAGCCACGCTGCTGTCTCTGTATAGTACACATCCCATAACTCAATGATACGCAATTTAATGAAAAATAACATTAATTTAATAAAACGCAGATTATATTTTTCATTGAAATCAGCAACGCACTAAAATCAAGAAATGCGCCGAATTTTTTTTTGGTGGTAGACAGGAAACATTTTTTTTAAATAATTCCAATAATACGCTATTTTCTAACACACACAAGGGTTTTGAAAGTCGACACGTTTTTTGCTATTTTAGATAATATTTAGATATGAAATGCGTTACATATAGTAGAATCTGCATTTTAAGCAAATTTTTGGCTCTCTTTATAAGTTCAGTACTCCGTATTCAAAGGTCTTATGTGATAGTATTCTCCTTTGTCTTGAATACCTTCTTACATTAGGAAAGAATCCTAAATTATAACAACTTCTCTGATTGTTATTTAGTAGATATGAAAGTCTCTTTTAGCGACTTCTCTCCCGTTATCCATTCAGACGCAGGACTTCGCGTTATTTTCCCGCCGTATTAGCCACTAATTCCTATCTTGATTCCACCTTTATACATATATTCCTGGCTTTTTCTAGTCGCGAACCGTCACGCGTTCCAAATTTAAGAAGAAAACATATGACGTTATTCCTTAAGTAAATGCAATTGAAGCTTCTTCGTACCTGATATTTCAAGATACTGTTGTGTCTTCTCAAATTTTAACTAAGGAAAATCGTACGGTGGAAGATCACATCTGTGGAGAGTTGGAGAAACTAATGGCCGCATCTCCCCAAAAATTAAAAGTTGAAAGCCTAACAAAAGCTATTTACGAAAACTAACACTTAACCTCTTAAATTTAAGAATTAAATTAACGTTATAAATATTCACAAATTACAGAAGTGCAGGAATCCAGTGACCGATTCGACATTCTCCGTGATGGAAAACCAGCCACTCTGCGGTAAATGCGCTTAATTCATCACAAATATATAAATAAAATCCCCCATCGAGATGTATAGAGTAACACTTTTAGAATTGATGTGACATAAATTGTAACTATTTAAATGTATAGTGAATTAATGTTGGAATTAATAAAAATATCATGAAATCTGACAGGGCTACCGTAAAACATAGCACTGCGCTAGTAACAACATGAAGATTATTTGTAATGTATCACACTAATTGCACATCAACATTAAATAATATATAAAAAAAGAGTTCAGGTAAGCCTAGGTACCTAAAAGTAATATGTCAGATTTTTTAAATTAAATTCACCGTCACATGATTATTTACAAGTTATAAAATCAGCTAATCGGTCTACCTATAACGCTCAGTCCCCATTTTATCGACATCCTTACAGTTGTTAGCGACAGTTATCAGGGTACGCTAAAGCAAAACTTTTGTGTCACTTTCAATTTTAAAGATGTGATTAATATATTTTATCTACATATTTTATTATGTCTTAGTTCATAGAAAACTTTTAAATATCTTTAATTATGATGATTTTCTCTGGAATTTATGTCATTCAATAAACAAACGAAAAAAAGAACGCACCAAAGATAAATTACTCACGCGCAATAATATTTCGTGTGTAAATAAACTTTTAGTGTTACATTATTATTACATTTCTGCATAAAGGAATTTCAAAGCATATTAATAATTCGCACTACAGACAATTAGAAATATGGTTTGTCCTTAAAATCCAAGATAATGAAAAAAAAGGTTTGTGCGAATTGACACCAAATAAACAGGGTTCAGTGGAGACGTTAGTGCGTTTCACTTACAATTATGTAAATTATGTGTCTAATCTTTACTTTCTTAAAGCAATCCGTTAAAATCGATAAACGTATTATAGTGTATCAAAAGAAAAAAAATTACAAACAATTAATTATAAGTTCCAGTACAAAATTGTACTGTTTTATTGTCAAAGACATAAAATTTTAGAATAAGAAATTGAAAACAATTTAAATATTTGTGATTAATAAAGCACGCTGTGATGCTTAATAAGCTTTGGGCTAAATTTTTGTTTTTCGTTTCACTTTTTACTAAGCTAAGATTCATTTTGTACGCTTCGATAAAGTTTTTGAAATAAATATATTTTTTTGTTCGACAATACATGTTTTATTTTTGTTACTGATTTTATTTACCGAACACTAATAGATAGGTCGCGGCGTCGCATCGCGAGAGCATCGGTATCGCAGGATCCGACTGATGCATGACCACGACCACTCTGTCAAGAGTTTACGAATAGGAAGGAAAAATAGATAGGTAAATCTTTGCTCACCTCATTGTGGTTATCACTAACTTAGCTGTCCATTAATAACTGTATCATACAATTTTCGATAGTAAGTATTATCAGATAGATAGTATTAAGATGTAATTGACCTCAATCTCTGAATTATCTCAAACATTACAAGCTCTTTCTAACATGGCTTACTACAGTCTACTACAGACTTACCTTATTTCCTCCTTTAGCTTTTTGCTCTTTCAAAATCAGATCTTCACCAGCTCCGTTTTTTCTAATCTCTTCTCCAGTCTTCACTTTAGGAGATTTGTCATCAATCCCTGCTGTATCATTTCCATCATCCTTATCTAAATCACGTCCACTTTTCAAATTAAGTCTCGGAATATTTTCAATTTCATTGCTTGCAGTCTCTTGCGTTTGTGTAGAATTCCGGGCAGTTTTGGAATTTGAATTAACGGCTTTTCGGATTCCACTGTTGTCCTTGAGTTGAGGGCTATGTGGAAGAATCTTCGAACGAGGAGTAGAGGGTTGAGATTTTCTGAAAAAAAAATGCCGATATTTTTACATCAAATTTTTACTCTATTCCGTAAAATAAGGGGCATTTTGCACGCCTTTAAAAAAAAAGCGTGGGTTCAAGACTGTGGTGCTATATACACACGGTGAGTCTTAAGAGTCCAAAAGAGATGACCACAGCCAGACATGACAAGTTCAGAGCCAGTAGCTCTATAAATAGAAGTAGAAGAAGTAATACTTAGTATTTGTACAAGAAATTGATTACATCAGCATCTCAATTACGAACCTCTGCTGATCTTTGCTTGGGTTTCGACACGTGCGCTCCTTCAGTCTAGGCGTTGTCTCGTTGCTTCTACCCTGAGGAGTTGTCTGGGGACTCGCCTCGCGACTGATGTGACTTGAAGCACACTAAAACATTACATGAACCATTTCAAATATAGGAGGTTCTCGAATTCGATTGTTTTTCTATTACTAGGTAGCCTGTTCATCAGAAAGTAAAATGGGTGCGTTCTTTAGTAAGCTGCCCTGCCTATTTCTGCCGTGAAGCAGTAATGCGTTTCGGTTTGAGGGTGGGGCAGCTGTTGTAACTATACTGAGACCTTAGAACTTATATCTCAAGGTGGGTGGCGCATTTACGTCGTAGATGTCTATGGGCTCCAGTAGCCACTTAACACCAGGTGGGCTGTGAGCTCGTCCACCCATCTAAGCAATTTAAAAAAAGCTGCAGTAGCTCCAGAAAACTAACATTTAGGCTAGGCTCAATTATTTTGTGAGCATGGTGGAAAGTCAGCGAACTATTTCTCTTAAGTTGACAAATATGCTATTTGGCCGTGGTTTAGTAAATTGTAACTGTTTTCTGTTTAAATTAAGTAATTTTTTGCCACTTTAATGTCGTCCATATCTCCGCTAAACCATGTTTCATTCTCACTTCTCATTAAGACAATTACTTAGTAATTGGTTTTTGCTTTAATAATTATATGCTTTTCAGGATATTATCAAAATAACCCTTCTACTCATATTTGTTCATAAAATATTTATAACTACTGATACCAAGCACCCCATGATTTTTTTACAATAAAATGATTTTTTCATACCATATTTTTAATTAAAATTTATTTTAAATTTTTTAGTTGGATTTTCTATAAAAGCGTATTTTGTTAGTTTTTTTAAACTATTATTTATTTTTCATTTTTTAGTTGAATTTCAATTTTTACATATTTTTTTTAAATATTGAACGGTCATCGGTCGTTATAAGTAGGTATACCAAATTTCGAGTTAATCCGTCGTTTTGAATGGGGTCAAAATCATGTTCAAAGATTCCGTTACATACTAACATACATACGTCTGAAGCTAATAAATAATAAAAGCGTATTAAAAATGGCCGTCAACACAATGCGACCGCTGTGTGATGTCAACGTTAATCTAAGGCACATAAACTTTACCGGTTCAACAGCTTCGACCATGGTTTGGATATCTGTATCCTTCTGGTGTTTATGACTACGAGGCCTCCCCTGATGAGGATCTCGCATTAGCGGACGGCGGAATCTGCGCACAAATACAGTACTCGTAACATTATGAAAGACAATTTATTGAAATATGAAGTAAGTGCAGTGTGCTTAGTGCGAGTTTCTTAACGTTCTCGATAGCGTAAAAGTTAACTCATATTTGTATGGTGTTGGGACGTTTGCCTACGTTTGCCGCTAGGGGCGCTGCTAAAAAAACTCTCACTAAGCACACTGAAAGTAAGGATCGATTGTGGAACCAATAAACTTGAAATGTATTGCGTCGATCTAATATATGGATCTTTTTTTGATTTGTATATTTTTTAGGACAAAGTCTATATTAGAGAAGACGTTATCACTAACTATCCAGCGGTGAAGGTTATTAGATTACTTTCTAAGGCAGAAAGTGGTATGCTCACTGAGCCGATGGCGAATGGTTACCATCGCTCGTGGAATTCAGTACTGCCGGGGGATAACCGGATTACTGATTATTTAGTAATGTTGTTACCTGGACACAGGTTGTTATGTATGCGCCACCCATCTTGAGATATAAGTCCTAAGATCTCAGTATAGTTACAACGGCTGTCCCACCCTTCAAACCGAAACGCATTATTGCTTCACGGCAGAAATAGGCAGGGCGGTGGTACTCACCACCGCGGAATCACAAGAGGTCCTACCACCAGTAAAATTTAATTATCTTACTTCCGATAACGCCCTGAACCATTATTGACCACTACCAAAATAACTCCTAAAAGCTGATACGACCCTACCAGTTGTTAACTTTGTTTATCAATAGTTCTACGATAGCACCTGGGAGATTTCCTGTTCGTCTTGTTTGCACCTTCACTTTTATGATTAGTCTGTTTTCCATCAACATTATTACTGGATATGTGCACTTTGGATGTACCTCTAAAATAAAAATGCTTTATTAGAAAAACTTACGAAGAATAACACAAGAATACGGCCGCAATTTTGTTGAAAACACTACTAGTAATATCCTGGATGATATATTGTTTGTCCTAGCCCACCAATTTTACAACAGTCTTAGATCTTTCTAGAAGGAGTAATGCTTATAATAATTATATAACAAATGATAGTTATGCTCTTTAGAACTACATTTTAAGCTTCTTTTGCTTTTTATTGGCTTACATGAACATGGTTACGATCTATCGTTAGGCTTAGAGCATTCCATTGAATATTTGAAAGTGAGATCTTGGGACATGAGGTTAAAGTCTCAATAACATAGTGGCTCCACATAATCCCACTCCTAAAATCAGATCACAAAAAATATCATATGCCGGCTATGCACGCGGACTCATAATATGAACTTCCATAAGTTAATGCACAATATAAAATTTTTTTTTGCAGAGTTAATTCTTACTACTAAACGTTTGGTAGGCAGCGGCTTGGCTCTGCCCCTGGCTTTGCTGACGTCCATGAGCGACGGTGACCACTTACCATCAGGTGGGCCGTATGCTCGTCTGCCTACAATGGCAATAAAAAAAAGTATTCCCTTTCATGGAAAGAGTTTGCGACGGAACTCCGTTAGTGTAGATTAACAAATGAACCGGCTAGCATTATCTTACCTGGACTGATTTTCTCTTGAACTAGAAGACTTAGCGTTCAAATTGTGACGAATAGTATCTAAAGAGTACATGGATAATCTTTCCTCTGTACCTGGAAATGAGTTTGTTAGTTGCATTCGCAAGTACTTTGAAAATCTTGCGCGTGTCGTAAGTGGAATAATATCCGTACACAGATTTCTCTACGGCTCCTGTCTCTCAATAAATGCAAGTTCTAAGAGTCGAAATCATTGTGGCCTAAAGAATAAGACATCACCCGGTGCATTCGTATCGAGTGATACAACTGTTTGTAGGCACCATTTTTTTCAATCAAATACGTACGTAGCAAATGTTTACGAATGACTTCTACGATAAAGGAACAACATCATGTAATAAAAATAAAAAACGCATAACTTATAATTTGCAGGTTAATTACTGGCGGTAGGACGTCTTGTGAGTCCGCACGGGTAGGTACCACCACCGCCCTGCCTATTTATGCCGTGAAGCAGTAATGCGAAGGGTGGGGCAGCCATTGTATTGTAAAACTAAGACTTAGAAATCATGTGTCAATGTGGGTGGCGGCGGCGTTTAAGTTGTTGATGTCTATGGGTTGTCGTAACCATTTAAGGCTAGGTGAGCCGTAGGCTCGTCCTCCTGCTTAAGCAATATAAAAACATTAATTAACTTTCGAAATATATAGCAGTGAGATTGGGATATCTGGTGACATTTAAGAGTTACACATGGAAATCTAATTGAGACTAATTCAAAAGATTTTATTTTAAGATCAATGAAATAATTACCAGATCTAGGACCAGGTTTCGACCAAGCTCTGACACCTGATTTCTTCCCGAAACACTTTCTGTTGGACTTCCTTGAGGTGGCTAAGCTCTGCAAAATTTTTTTATTCCGAAACATCATCTAATTTATATTTTTCAGTATGTTTTTCAAGAGCCTCTCTCAATTTATGTTACCACCTTACCTACTTCAATTGTTAAGCGATGATCTTTATTTCTAATACTTGAGTTTAGGGACTTTACAGTTTCGCTGTCAATATGCGATGGTACTTACTAACCGCTATCACTTTGAGCCAACGAGATGACTAGTAATGTTGTGATGTGATGAAATATTAGCATTTTAAGATTTAGATTAGATTTGTAGATATTCAGACGAAGCTGACGGTCTACTTAATATTAAGTGATTTGGTTGTGAAACATTCAGTAACCAGCATAAGGGACACCTGACAATCAATACAACAAGACAAGCGTGGGTTAGCATAAGTCATTTTAGAATAGAAGAAGTCAGCCAAATACTTGAATCGCGCTAACGACATCTATAAGATAAGCTTACATACAGGGTGTCCCAAAATAAAAATAAAATTAACAATCTTTTTTCTTGAAATTTTAGAACATTTTAACTTTTAATCATCTTTGACATGCTACTGTGAAAAAAAATGTATGAAATGTACTATGGCATGGAACAAACTTTAGATCTTAAAATTGAGACTTTGAATCTAAAGGTACGTGGTAGTAGTATTCACTTTGTGGAAGGCTTAAACTACGAAGGGGTGATATTGCTCAGTAGACCGACGATTCGAATGTTGTTTTTTTTTCCTACCTAGCTGAGAGCCTTAAGAGGCTATTTCAGCGTAACCTTAACTAGTAGGTGAGCTCACGGGGCTCAAACCTGACGACGTTACTAACACGAACCCTAGCAAGAGCCGTGCTTCGCAGAATCTTCCACCGGATCGGAAACGCGACCCACTGGGAAAATCCGGCGAGAAACTCGGTGGGCTGTGTCTGTGGGTTAATTTAATCGAGCACTTCGTCGCAAGCGACGGGTTCGACGAGAACGATGACCGGTGCTTGAGGTACCGAAAAGTACTGTTAGTGGATCGGGAGGATCCGAAATGACGTGTCCCCGAATGATGTTGTTCGGAACTTGTATATATGCAATACCATCTAGGCAATAAAAAAAAAATTAAAAAAAATGCAAGCTGATCATGAAAATGTCGTAAGCGAGATTCAGGCATCTGTCAAATATCTTGTATTCTATGATGGCTACCTACCACCACATAACTTTTTGATGTCCATGGGCATTGGTAATCACTTAACAACAGGTGCGCTGTAAGATCGTTCACCCGTACAGTGCGAATAAAAAGCCCTACGCTCACAACATCCCCATGAACATGCAACTTACGTTAGTATCGTTGTCCTGCATGTATTCCGTGACCTTTGAATTGTAAACATGCATCGATGCTTCTAGCTCCTGGCACGACACCAGTAGTTCCTGCCAAAGTTTTGTACTGGTTCATTAGGGCATCCGATCTACACTAGCACAGCTTTGAGCTTGGTTAATCTTGAAGTGGTCGTGGCCTAAAGGATAAGACGTCTGGTGCATTCGTATCTTGCGATGTACCGGTCTTCGAATCCCGCAGGTGGGTTACTTATTTTTGTAATGAAATACGTACTAAAAAAATGTTCACGATTGACTTCCACGGTGAAGGAATAACATCGTGTAATAAAAATATTATAATTTGCGTAATTAATGGTGGCAGGACCTCTTATGAGTCCGCACGGGTACGTACCACCTCCATGTTTATTTCTGCAGTAATGCGTTTCGGTTTGAAGGGTGGGGCAGCCGTTGTAACTATACTGAGACCTTAGAACTCACATCTCAAGGTGGGTGTCGACATTTATGTTGTAGATGTATATAGGCTCCAGTAACCACTTAACACCAGGTTGGCTGTGAGCTCATCCACCCATCTACGCAATAAAAAAATACATTTTTGCATTCATTTAAAAAAAAATTAACAAGGAAAAGAAATACTATGAAAAGACATTAATAACAATATCAGTGATTTAGACTCACGTCATTATAGAGGTCAGTAATGGCGGCAAAGTCTTTGGGCGCTGGTGCACTTTTGCAAAGGTCAGAAGCTTGTCTAGTCGCTTGGATGAGCGCTGCGAGCGCAGTTGAACTCTCACGTAGACAAGCCGTCTGCTCTATTGACTTGTTGAAGACCTGTAGAGAAGAGTCGTCGTGGCCTAAAGGATAAGACGTCCGGCGCATTCGTATGTACTGACGCATCGGTGTTCGAATCCCACAGGCAGATACCAATTGTTTCTAATGAAATACGTTCCAAATGTTCATGATTGACTTCCACGGTGAAGGAATAACACCATGTAATAAAAATCAAACTCGCTAAATTATAATTTGCGTAATTACTGGTGGTAGGACCACTTGTTAATCCACACGGGTAGGTACCACCACCCTGTCTATTTCTGCCGTGAAGCAGTAATGCGTTTCGGTTTGAAGGGTGGGGCAGCCGCTGTAACTATACTGAGACCTTAGAAATCATATCTCAAGGTGGGTGGCGGCATTTATGTTGTAGATGTCTATGGGCTACAGCAACCACTTAACGCCGGGTGGGCTGTAACTTCGTCCACCCATCTAAGCAATAAAAAAAATATGTTATCAGCGTGCCCGCTGGAAGTTATAGCAAATGGAAGGAGTTTTTATCAGCGATAGGGAGTAGTGAACTTGCACTGGAAGGTACATCCAGCAATTGTGAGAAGCCACTTGCAGGCGAGCGTGCAACGTTTACACTTGATGCTTCTTAAGGAGCTGACGCTGCTTTGCCATACAGGTTAATTAGTCTAGTCAACAAGTTCAAAAACGTGTTAAATAGACATAAAGCTCCTAAAAATATGTACGATAGCTCATTGGATGCGGAATGATGTCTACAAAAATATTTTTTAAGGGCTTATTAGCACATAAAAAATTGCGATTGTTATAAACAAAATAAGATTTAAAAAAAAAAGGAATTTGGTTTTTCCTTAATAATTTCTAAAATAATGATATTTAAGGAATTTTGAATAAAGATCCTGAAAGAGGAGGAAATTTCCAATAAAAAAGTCCCAACTCCCGGAATTCTATCTCTATTATTTATAAAAAAAAATTAACGCTGAAAATAGCGCTCCGCGAGGTCGTCACGGCATAGGCGCGCCGTCTAAAAAGCCGGTATATCACCTAAAATAATTTTTTTATAGTATTAAATAACAATTTAATAATTTGAATAAATTATGATGTAATCTAAACACTTGAACGAAAAAAACCTAGGTGAAAAAAAAATTTTACGTCGATTTTTCAAAAATTTACACCATTGTTAATTAACTAACTTTTTTCCAATCTCTGTTTTTATAAATTACGGTATAAAAGTTTCAATATTCATCTATAAATTTTTCCCTTCGTGGAGCTCTTATCATTTAAGTACTTAATAAAGTAATGCAAAAAAAAAATTTAAATCTTTATTATTTTGATAATTATAATTTTTTTTAATTAACAAAAAAATAAATTTCTAAAAAATGTTATGAAAAATAGTTTTTTTCTGTAATATCTTAATATTGCTGTTTTTGCATCTACCATAGGTATTAATTAACGTTTAAAAAAAAAATTTACGCTATTTGTTAAGAAATTGTTTATAAACAAATACACTATTTTGGGACTTTTTAAAAAAAAAAAAATTACCATCTTATTGTATAGGTGAATAAAGATTTTTTAAAAAAAAAAAATTCTTAAATAAATGTTTTAATTGTTTAAAATCGTTTTTTTCATATTTCAATTGTTTAAATAATTAGTTAAGAAATTATTTTTTTCTTAAAAATCATCATTGACTCTTTTCAGCGGATTAACAAAGAAATACATTTTTTTATAAATAATTTCATTGTTTACTAACTTAACAATTTGTTATAAAAAAATAATATTAATCGTTATATTTTTTTTCGAAAACTACAAAAAATTACAAAAACAACCATACATAACAAAATATAGAAAAAAAAAATTTGTGTTTTTTACAGCATTTTTAGATATTATATGATAATGAAATTACAGCCGTTACATAATTTGTCAAGCTATAAATTATTATAACTTTTAAACTATAAGAGATACGGTAAAGGACACTCAGGTCATTTTTATAAAGGATTTATTTATCTTTAAAATAAATTCAAAATCGATCCTGTAACTATTGTTTATCAGTTGTTATAAGCATTTGATAAATAAATGAAAACTGATCGATAGCAGAATGTGAAAATGACTCTTGATGTTTAGTAACTTCGTAACAGCTATCAACAGCTTCCTACCGATTTCTGCCACAAAGTCTTCATGCATTTTATAGGAATTCCCTATTACGCGAATGTGATTGAGGTTTTCATCTTTGCGTTTTAATATCGTGTTTTCGACACCTAATAAACTGATAACATTATATTCATTTTACAGCTAAGAATCTGCGACCTGAGCACCAGAGATATCCGTGGTACCGTGGCCATCCAATGGGCATTCCAGGAATTTGAGTGTTATTTAGATCTTTAAAATGATAAGCACAATCACCTGGTAAGCCTGAAGCATGTTCTGATGCAGGGACACCACCCTCACCATCAGTGACTGGAACTGGGTGTGTTTGGCAAACGGCAGAGCATTTCTCGTGTGACGTTTCAAGTCTTGGAGCTGGATAAATAAATTTAGGTTTCTTTAGAATCAAAAGTATAATTAACCCAGCGGATCACACCTTTTTTTTATTGCTTCATGGGTGGACGAGCTCACAGCCCACCTGGTGTTAAGCGGATACTGGAGCCCATACACATCTACAATGTAGATGCGCCACCCACATTGAGATACAAGTTCTAAGGTCTCAAGTATAGTCACAACGGCTGCCCCACCCTTCAAACCGAAACGCATTACTGCTTCACGGCAGAAATAGGCGGGGCGGTGGTACCTACCCGTGCGGACTCACAATCAGATCCTACCACCAGTAAATCTTATCTGCTCGTCCATCTGAATAGTTTGACTACGGTGAGATTGTTAAGTAGTTATCAGAACTTGTAGGTAACATCAATTTAGATGCTGTCCCCTAGTTTGAGGCACGAGGTCTGGATTGTGTTATATGACGGATGTACCCATATAATATACCTTTCAAATTTGGGGCGTTAGACTGCTTTACGACAGGAACGGGCTAGTAGTAACTGAAAACAACGCAATGATTGGATATACAGCGGACCACCTCACTTCATCCTCGTGAGAACAAGACTCAAGATCCCAGGCCTTAAAAGAACATGCGAAATGAGCTTGGTAAACTTTTTCATGATCGAACCCACTGACCTGCCTCTGCAACTGGTACATATGTATTCTGTTGAATCGTATGCAGAATTCATTGGATCTCTTGCACATTCTGGCCAACTCGTTACCCTCAATCGACGATAGATCTTGGTTCTCCAGCGTAGTTCTGAATCAAAGACACAACCTCACTGGTGGTAGGACCTCTTGTGAGTCCACGCAGGTAGGTACCACTACCCTGCCTATTTCTGCCGTGAAGCAGTAATTAGCGTTTCGGTTTGAAGGGTGGGGCAGCCGTTGTAACTATAATTGAGACCTTAGAACTTATATCTCAAGCTGGGTGGGCAATTTACGTTGTAGCGGTCTATGGGCTCCAGTAACCACTTAACATCAGGTGGGCTGTGAGCTTGTCCACCGAACTATGCAATAAAAAAAAAACAACGGTCTATAAAGTAGTATGTTTTATATCGGTGTAACGACTAAAGGCTCTTCGGCATTAGGAACATATGAACTCCGCTCCTGGAATTACAACTCTTGGTGAGCCGTTGGCACGTGGAAGAAAAGGCCTTAATGAAAACGCTATGTTGGAACAAGAATCCTTTTTTTGTACTAATAGGTTGTACTGAAATATAAAGAGCTCACACTATAGATGAGAGTTCTTCACATAGTTTCGTCCTTAAATCTTTAACTTTGGCGCAGTAGATGCTGCTCTCAATCACGTGGGCCACATTCTCGGCCGGTTTCTCTGGAATAAAAGAAACACTGTCTTATATATTTTATGTATTTGTCGGAGCAGCTTCTTGTTTCAGTAGAGCTTTTAGTGCTAGGCAGCCATTATTGTTTTCCACTTAGCTTCGCAGCGTGCATAATTATTACCATTTTAAGGCGAAATAACCCTTTATTTTAAAATTAAAAACCGTTATTTTTATAAAGTAATAATCGCTAACTTTGACGCATAGTGCATTTAATGAATTTTAATGCATGAATATGTACGTTTTAATAGTAAAATTGATAATTGTGTGAAAGTTTCTGACTTAGCATCATGAATTCACAATAAAGGCGCGACAGGTTTTTAGTTTGTTCAAAATAGCAATAGTAATAAACATACATTTTACCAGCTTTTGCTCGATTCTGGAAATTTTAGAATTAAGGTTATTTGGATGAGAATATTTCATAGCAGATGGGCATAACGCTGGCACCAACAGTTTCAAGGTTTGAGGTGAAGATCTAGAGATTCTAAATCAAAATCAGGTATTATACTTATAATATAACAGTATAAATAACATAACGATTACCGACTTTCATTCATTCCCGATCCTGCGGACAGAATGGAAAGCAGTCGACGTCGCCCTAAACACGTCATCTCGGATCCTCCTGATCCACTAACGGTGCTTTTAGGTACTTCAAGCACCGGTCACCGTTCTCGTCGAACCCGTCGCTTGCGACGAAGGGCTCGACGAGTAAATTAACTCTCAGACACAGCCCACTGAGTTTCTCGCCGGATCTTCTCAGTGGGTCGCGTTTCCGATCCGGTGGTAGATTCTGCGAAGCACGACTCTTGCTAGGGTTCGTGTTAGCAACATCGTCAGGTTTGGGCCCCGTGAGCTCACCTACTAAAGTTAGGGTTACGCTGAAATAGCCGCTAGGGCTATCAGCTTAGGTAGGGAAAAAAAAAAAAAAAAAAAAAAAAGACTTTCATTAAAAAAATGCTCTTTAAGAAAAGCACATTAAGTTGATTTTTATTTATATATCGGTGTTTTATTTATACCTTTTCTCCCGGATAACCGAAGTTCCGGAGAGTCCGTCGACGACTGCGCGTCGTCTTTATTCTCGCGGACTGTGCACGGACTGCCTGTGGAATCAATTTGATTGTCTTCTTGACCTAATAGAAAAATTTTTTGGGAATCAATTTGCTAAAGACAACAGTATGCACGCAGATAAGCAGTGTTGGCAAAATTCAGTAGAACGTTGTCAAGATTTTCATGACCAAACATTTAATACACATCTTAAATAATATGAACACATCGGAAAGAAAACATAAGGTAAAGGCATCATAATTACAATCACAATAAACATTACGCACGTAAAAATTATACAAATCCGTGTCGGTAAATATTGTAATGCGATAAATGTTGTAGCATGTAAAATGTCGAGAGGGATGTAATTTTTATTTTTTTATTTTTATTGCTTAGATGGGTGGACGAGCTCACAGCCCACCTGGTGTTAAGTGGTTACTGGAGCCTATAGACATCTATGACGTAAATGCGCCTTCACCTTGAGATATAAGTTCTAAGGTCTCAAGTATAGTTACAATGACTACCACACCCTTCAAACCGAAACGCATTACTGCTTTACGGAATGTGAATGCAGTGTCATAAGTTTGGACAGGACTAATTAAGGATTAATTAAATTAGTTTAGACATAGAAGCAGCTCTGAGAAGTCACAACCTTTAGAATTAAAATACCCTTAGAAGAATGAAAAGTAAAGTAACCAGAAATGTCATCCTTTTCTGAGTCGAAAATATGAAATACTCCATCGTCTCCCTCGTCATCTTCATTGTAACTGATATGGTGAACTTCTTCTACGTGTTGTGGAGCGTGCACGTCATCTTCTACCATGTATTGTTGTGCATCATCAGATTGAAAGGCCTGCAGAAAATCAATATAAGTAGTATCGACTCTAAAGGTCGTAACAAGCTTTTGGGGATAGTAACAGTTAATTTCAAAGGACGCGACTTGACTTTTTTTCCACAGGAGAAAATCGCCGGATCCCTACCCCCGCGTCAGGTGGGGTATGTAGGAGTTGAACCTCACTAAAACTCCTGCCGCTCACAGCCGGCGCCTTACCCCGGACCGGGCAGAGCCCAGTCGGGGCTATCGAAACGGCGGGACAGGGTCAACGCAGAGCACATTACATCCATCCCGCACACGACTTGACTTAGGGTGTGTTTTTGTCAAAAAGATCCAGTTGGAAGATGATAACCCATCATCGAGATATTCAACAGGGGGCGATTTTCACATTGCTTTATCTATGGTATTTGCTGATCGTTTAGCATTAGATATGCTTGAAGCTTAGGCGCATATACACACCAATACTAATTGTCGTCCATCGTGACTCGAGAAGCCATTTTGTATTTGGAAATGTATATGGTAAATTTTTAATTTTTCTTTTTATTACACACTGTATTTAACATTTACTAAGTTATTTGTGAAAATTGTTCGATGTCTCAGGTTATAGTGAAATGGATTAAGCCGACTTGGCTATTTTAGCATGAGTATATGTTTGAAACATTTTATACACAGCCATGAGGAGAATCGACAAAACAAAATCAGTAGGCAATTCAGTCGACGCTGCTATTGCCGCACCTCCAGCTCTTCAAGAATTTGTTCGTTCTTCATCTTCTGCAGTTCAGATTTCATTAGTTCTTTCAAGCATTCTTCGGGAAGTTCTTCTAAGAATTGATATGGATCATCTGAAATATTCAGAGATAAAATGTTAATAGTGTCTGAGATAAGAATGGAGCTGTGGCTTGATGTGACAAAGCGGTGGGTTAACAAAACCACTTACGGCCGTTTTCAATAACGTATCTGAGTTTTCGGATAGATAGCTATCTCCGAATATCAGCAAGAGCGTATCTGAGTCGTCTATTATCAAAGGTGGCAATCTGTGCATTTGGACAAAAAAATGTTATTGATATGTCAATACAGATTGATTTGAATATAATCGTCTCCTTCAAAGAATACGGTTCAAAACCTGCATTAAATAAAGGTTAATAGTTAACCTGTTATTTATCTAAGATGCCGTTCCGAAGAGTTTTGTGACTGCCAATGGAATACAAAGTCAATAATTCGTTTTTCTGATTTACCAATATTGTTCAAAAGTCAGATTGCCGGCTTTGATAATAGACGACTCATCTATCCTTAGTTTGCGTTTCACAATCACGGATAAGTGCTATCTCTCTTTAACCAACAGTAGATAGCTTCTTCCCTCCGACTTATCCGAGCCTCTTGATACGTTTCGTTCTACTACAAATACGAAACAACATCAGGATCAAGACTTATTTTATTTTATTCTAAATTATAACTATAATTTAACCAGCATATTGTAGACTATCATAAACANAATGCCCATACTAGAGATAGCGCCGCCTACCGGAGAGTTACTTAAAACTCATATTGAAACGGAAGTAAGCACGATTTGTATGAGCGTTCTATCTTTAGCAGGCTATCCGTCCTCCCGAAGATGGATAGATAAATCCGATAGGAACTGCTGCCCGTCGATAGGTTATTGGAACGTAAGTAAGGACAAAAATATAGATTTGCCTATCTTTAGTAACCGAAACTAGGGATAGATAGGTTATTGAAAACGGCCGTTAGAAGAAGTTAAGTTCTAGTACTGTTTATGATGCAATTGAGTAGAGTAATATAATTATAACATAAATACGAATAGAACAAAACAAAAGGGAATTTACTCTCTAATCTCACCTTAACCTATCATTAATGTTGATCGACGAGTAAGCCCAAGTGACTCGCTCTTATTAATTTTAAATATATACCTTCACACACAGAATGCACGATATCTTGTTCTTTGACGAATTCATCCCATATTTTTTCTTCTCTTTTCTTTACTCGTAACCTTCTGGTAGACTTCCAGGTTCTTTCTAACTCTTCGCCTTCAATGTACTGGAAAAAAGGTTAGTTACAAAGACGATTTCATTTATGGTTACTTTGAGAAACGCTATCACATCTGCATTATACGCTATAACTGCGGCATACCTACAATATATACCATGCGGTATACCGTAAGATACCTACAATACCTACAATATAATGACCAAACTTTGACCGAACCCAACGAGCATACTGGAGACCACACCCCGTTATCTGCCCATAAGTGATGATCATTCAAAGCAGGGCCTATCTATATTTGAAAGCAACTAACATGCTCTGGATTGCACTCTATACCACAGTGTTTGTAGCCCGCTTAATTATATATTTTTCAAATGAAGATTCACAAAGTTCCTTTGTGGCTTAGTCGTGTCGTTAACATGTATGCCTTTGAGGCTCTTTTAAAACCGGTTTATACATATCATCTGCTTCATATACACGATTATGCTTACGAATGCAAGTCCGCCATGGTACCGGACAACTATCCCAACGATTTTTTAAGCGGAACAGGCATGTTTTGCAATTTGAAGTACGGAACGGCGTTACATCAACAATACCATTCGAGATGAGATCGAAATCTCGCAAAGCAGCTGTTGGCACTCACGATATCCGTTCGAACCATTGAGCTCCGATTCTTCGTGGCATATGAATACATCATTCAATTCAATTCAATTCATCATTCGTAATCACTGGTGGTAGGACCTCTTGTGATTCCTCACGGGTAGTTACCACCGCCCTGCCTATTCAGCCGTGAAGCAGTAATGCGTTTCGGTTTGAAGAGTGGGGCAGCCGTCGTAACTATACTGAAACCTTAGAACTTATATCTCAAGGTGGGTGGCGCATTTCGGTTGTAGATGTCTATGGGCTCGATTAACCACTTAGCAGCAAGTGGGCTGTGAGCCTGTCTACCCATCTAAGCAATAAAAAAAATCTATATATAAGCTATAAAAATCTTAAATATTACACAAATTTTATATTTATTTATTTATCTACAATGCAAATGCCACCACCCATCTTGAGACATGAGTTCTAAGATCTCACTTGTGATAGTACAACGGCTGCCCGGCCTTCAAGCCGAAACGCATTACTGCTTATAAGCAGGGTGGTGGTACCTACCCGTGCGGACTCACAAGACGTCCTACCACCAGTAATAATTCGGTGAAGTAGTGCTCTTAATAAACCAAACTATAAAACAAAGTCTTCCAGACCGAACTCTGTGAGCTTGCCTACAAGTTCGGAGAACCTATTATAATTCGTCGAGGCTACTAGCAATAAGTAGGCAAAAAGACAACATACCTTTAACTCGTTGGCTGCGTTATCTTCAGGCATGAATGAGAAACCTCTGACACACGTGTCCATCCTCCAAATTATACTGAATCAATTAATAGCTCTTATTATTATTTTCGATAAACGTCATTAAATACGTTATAAATACTGTACATTGAATGTCAATCAACTTTCATTTCTTGACAGGAGCCGAATTAAGGTCGAATGTAAGTTTTGAAAAAAAAAACAGTTTATAAAAATAAAAAAAACTTTTTGTAGCTGCATCCAACTGTTCCCGACCTGTCTAGATTGTATTTTTTTAATAAATTGATGTAGATAAGATTACATTATAACTACAACAGGGCGCAAGGCACGTAATAATGTGCTAATGTGCTTATAGCTTTCCCGAGGAAGCCGAGAAGTTTTTAAAAGATAAAAGCTTCAATCAAAACCAAAGCAGCTAAGTACGATTTACTCGTGAAAATATTCTCTTTTTTGTTTTCTTTTATAATAATTGACGAACTTTAAGTTCAACTTTATAAGGAACTTTAAGTCTATCATGAAGTGTGAGTGCTTGTCTTCGAATTTCAATCAATAGTTCGCCCATTAGATAGTATTCATAAAAAAAACAATTGAAACTTCGCTTCCCCAAAAGATCGCTAAAAGATTGACAGCGGTGACGGATAGCGGACCTTTAAAGGCCAATAAAAGCTTAGATCCACTAATTTAAAAAAGAAATATATAATTTCACGATGGCCACAACACGTCACATAATATAATAATAATAATAATAATGAACTTAAGTGATAATAAAAATTACTCACATCAAAAAACGATTCTGTTCGTATTAATAAATAATTAAAACAGAAATAATATACAGTTTCATTTTGTAAAATTAATAATGTTTTACTTCAAGATTGGAATGTATTCAATGCTTAAAAAGTACAAAAGCAAAATAAAATGCTTGTGGTATGTATTGCCATGACCAGGGGGGTGCAACTCCCATACAAAGGAAAAGAACATTCAACTAGCGTCATCTTTAGGAACCGGCGAGGTCATTTTTGAAACGTTTTGGCCTTAATGAACTAATAAATTCACTAGATGGCAGATACGAGTTCTGACTCAATAAAAAAGGTTAGCGTACTTTGAAGCAGTGCTTCCACTTTTAGGGAATTTTCCCTTTTTTAGGGAAAAATAGCTGATATTTTGGATGATAAAGACAATTAAAAAATACCAGGATTTAGGATATTTCGGGGTAAAAAGCAAAGCCTATACTAGTAACTGTTGTGAATTTTAAAATAAACGATAATTAAAGTAAAACAATGAACATTTTATTTTATGGAGAGAGAATGACATTAAGTCGAGTTGACAAGTAAAAGAATAAAACAGAGTTGTGTATAAAAACTATAAAGAAGGTTTGATTCAACAGTAACCCTCTAGTAAAGTAAATCATAGATTANTTTTAACAGAAAATTGTTTGTAATATAGGGAAATTAAATAGCTTACAGAGAATTACAGCTTTTTATTTTAAAAAACTGTTTTCTCTCTGTATGAAAAGATCTTATCGATTAGAATGCTGAACACAATCAAACATTCCTTAATATCTCATAAGTACTACCGGGAATTTCAGCGATTCTAAACGATAAGATTTTTTCATAAAGAGAGTTATTAAAAATATTAAAATTACTAAAAAAGCCACCTGGTGGGGGGTAGGGAGACTAATAATCGACCGTAGCGACGCCTGCTGGACCGGGCTTTAACTAAAGCAAAAATAAAAATGAGAGTTGCGCATCTATCTCGAATATATTAAGTGTATAATCTATGGCCATGACAACAATGATGTAAACAGCATCGTTGCTAGGCAACCACGACAGTTGGCGCGTGGCGCGTGCATAATTTACATCGTTATGTTACAGTTAAAGTGATCACTTGAAAATAATTGAAAACTACCAGATTATGTGTATTGAGCTATGTATGGAATAGAAATGGTTCAATATTTGCTCATTAATATTTCCATTGGTCAGAAGGAACATATTTTATAATCTAGTAATTAGTGAATCAAATTAAGCGAAATACATAACTATACTTTTTTGTATAATAATATAAACTAGTTCATTAGACTACTTTACTGCTTTTGAGGAACGAATTTTGAATTTATAGTTTAAGCGCTTGTGACGCGTTCACTTTGTGACTTTTTAATTTTTATTTAGGTACTGTCCAATAATAATTATTAACCAAAAGCAACAAAACTGTATGACGTCACGAACTCTAGATGCTTTAAAGAATTTATTACGTAAAAAATTAATGACTTTCTCAAATCGTGACGTCAAAAAAGGCTTGATAGGTGTTTTAAGTCAGGTAATTGATGCCTCTATTTTATTACGCACCTAATACAATCTAAATTGTACTGTTAATTTAAAAGTAATTGCTGTGTGAGTCAATACAGAAAAAAAACATATCACACCATCAGGAATGACCTCATTCAGGTGTCAATAATTCGCGGAAAATGTCGTTTCGATAAAAACAACTGTGACAAGTGTTTTTAGGTTTTTAAATCTTATACCTTTAAACGAGCAATTCTTGTATATTAATATATATATATATATATATATATATATAATCTGAATCTCGGAAACGGCTTCGACGATTTTCATAAAATTTAGTATACAGGGGATTTCGGGGGCGACAAATCGATCTAGCTACGATATATTTTCAGAAAATGTTGTTTTATTCGTGTTTTCAATAATCAACTCTTCCCGACATCTATTGGTGAATAATAATACTATTTTTCTTAATTGAGGGCAACTAACCGCTTTAAAAACACAACAAGATGGCGTTATAATAAAAAACCGGTCATCATCTAGTGTATTATAAAATGTGTTTTCCCCATATCAAACAAAAATAACTAAAATGAGGGTATCTATTTATTAGTTTATATTCATTTATGCAATATTATAATTCACGACGGAGAGCAGGACCCTGAAACAGCGATACTTCAAGACAAAAAAAAAATGTATGAAAACTAGCAACATCTTGTAGCGGATGCCCCTTAAACTTATATGTTGTTAAAGTTAAGGCATTTAATTATTGTACAACTAAACACAGAGAATAAAAAACATATAAGTCTTTAGTATAGATAAATTGGTTTCTGAAATATTTACAAAATCTTTCATTAAAAACAAAATATAGGATAGCTAATGTTACTGCCATCTACAGGAGCAATGAGAAACTAATCGAAGCGAAGCCATCTAGTGGTCGACGCCCGTAAACATTTTTGTTGACTGCTTGAGTTGCTTATCTGTAACTAATTTATGTGTATTATCAATGACGGAAAGTAACCCTGTAATTTTGGTTACGATTTAATAAAAATAACCAGAAATTATGAATGTTAACCATAATTATCATACTGACCGCAACTTTTACTAAAATTAGATGGTTACATGTTACAACTTTTGATGTTATAATGCAGGAAAATTTGAAAGTCGTATTGTGAACAGAATAAACAAAGATATCAAACGTACTCTAAGTGCTCGGGTAATAGCAGACCGCATAACATAGAATATCTATGGTCGAATGTTTAACTCATAGAAAATACATATTCATAATTATACAATAATTTTATTCTGAGAAGCGTGAACGAGGAAATAATCTTATTAATTATGTAATCTAAATCAAAGAGATTCATGTTGCTCGGTAGCCATTACCAGTCGAAGATGGCCAGTCCATCCGAGCTGCAAACTCCACGGGTGTTCCCGCAATGGAGCAGAACTGCGTTGATGACACTGACTCGTCTCCCGGAAGACGACGGGATTCAGGTAGGTAAGGATTAAGCGTTATTGAATATTAGACTAAGCATGAGCTCAGTGTAATGCTTATTATGAATGTAATGCAAAGAGAAAGTCATATCATTTGCCGATTCTATAGTGATAAAACTAGATCGGTACCAAGTCATACCTGTTGAGTCATTCAAAGGGCCTGTTAAGCCGTTCTTGAATAAACACGTAGTTTTGTTTATGATTAAAGGATTACTGGTGGGCCGAGGCCTTTCCAGTTTCACCAGGACAGGGGAATCCGGCGAGAAACTCAGCGAGCTGATGCATGGGTTAGGTTGCACGTCGACCTCTTTGTTGAGTTCGACGAGCCTGTTCCTAGTGTTAGAGCTGAAGGCGTCTAATTCAAGGGATATTGCATCTGATGGATCCGTAAGGACGTGTCTAGGGCACACACGCAGTTACGGACCACCCGATCTATGTACTAACTAGCACAGTTACTGGACATCCTTAGCTGTAGTACTAGAAGCAACGACCTTGGTATTCGTGAAACCTGACTTAAAATATCAGCCCGCTGAGTTTCCCGTCGGATCTTCTCAGCGAATCACGAATCCGATGCGATAGCGGATGAATTCGCAAAGCAGCTTGAGCTATTATACTTCCTTCGAGTCGCTCGGTCAGCAGTTATCAAGTCCTCCTGGCTGAGACCGTGCTCGCTCACTTGCCCTGATGAAACTGGAAAGGTCATCTTGTCACCAGTATCGTCCCCGCTCCCTTTTGAACTGTAAGTTCTTGGCGTATTTTCATTTCTCTAGACGAATGAACTCCGGGCCTGCTTCTCTTAAAGATTTATCGAAGCGAATTGACATCACTAGTGTCGTTTTATATCTCTAATCGTTGATCGGTTCCGGGAAAAGTCCTTGCAAAACGCATAAGGAAGGGACCTTGCGTGATGTGTCAACATAGAAGATATCTCACAATGCACTTGACAACGTTTGCATTGCGAAACTTACTTAAACAGGATCTTATTTGAGAATAGCATCCTTGTTCCATTCATCAGGGGATATGGATGTATATACAAACAGGCTTTCTTCAGCTATTAATGACCGTTATATTAGTATTGAGTTACGCTCTGTATCAGGCAATCGTTTTTTTTTCTACCTAAGCTGATAGCCTTGAGAGGCTATGTCAGCGTAACCAGGCGAGTAGGTAAGATCACAGGGCTCAATCCGACAGTGTTGCTAACACTGGCCCTAGCAAGAGCAGTGCTTGGCAGAATCTACCACTGGCTCTTAAACGCGACCCACTGAGAAGATCTGGCGAGAAACTCAGTAGGCGAAACTAAATTAATACGTACCTAGTTCGCGTAAAGTGTACTATTTCCATGTTGAAAGAATACCGTGGTGCAGCAAGGATGGTCGAACATTTACTGGT